CTCCCTCCCCTTCACCCCACACACACGCTCAAAATACTCACTCCCCCCACCCCCCTCCCCACCCCCAGATTCGTGTCCGGGCGTGGTCACCATCTCAGAAGACTGGCGTGACGTCAACAGCCTGACGTCATCTAACCAGGCCCAGTGTGACGTCACCAGCGGTACCTTCAACACGCAGACCTGGTACAGCTTTGAGCTGGGGACGGACGCAGACCTAGCCACCATACCTACTGTCTGTCTCAAGGTCTGTTTGGTTTGTTTGTTTGTTTGTCTCAAGGTCTGTTTGGTTGGTTTGTTTGTCTGTATGTCTCAAGGATTGTTTGTTTGTTTGTTTGTCTCGAGGTCTGTTTTCTTTGTTTGTTTGTTTGTTTGTCTGAATGTCTCTAGTTTTGAAGTCACACCACACACCAAATCAGCAATGTTTTTTCCACACATTTGAATCTGATATGACTAGCCTATGGTCTCTCTCTCTCTCATATTGTATCTCTTAGCTTAGCTTTGACGTAGGGATACGAAATCGCAAAACAGTGGAAAAAAACATCGCTGATTTGGTGTGCGGTGTGACATCAAACCTTGAGACATACAGACAAACAAACAAACAAAACAGAGATTAGAGGTGTTAAAAGAGAGTAACAAAAAAAAAAGGAGGCTAGATACTAGATAATGACGACGGATGTTTGATAGAGGTAAAAATTGCAACATTAGCAACGACAATTACAACAAAAACAATGATTATTCTAACAACGACAACAACAACTTAGAGACAAGACGTGGAAGTACGGCAGACAGAATCTAACAAAGTCACGTCACCACCACCACCAATAGCAAAAACAACAACAACAACAACAGCAACAGCAACAACAACAACAACAACAACAACAAAAACAACAGCAAAAACAACACCAACACGTAGGGCAGACAGAATCAAACAAAGGAACGCCACCACCACCACCACCACCAACAACAACAGCAACAACAACACCATACGGCGGTGACATCTCTTTGGGGAGGATTCAGGGAGGTTGGACTGCTTCACCCGCTACCCAAGGGAGGCGGTAGCCCTGGCGAAGAGCACGCTCTTCGGGGCTCCAAAATTTCGGACGGATAGATTACCACACACACAAACACACACACGCACACACACAACAACAACAACAACAACAACAACAACAACAACAACAACAACAACAACAACACGAAGAGGGGACGAGGCACATACAAACAAATCCTACCTTAACGTGGTGCAGAATCTCTTACAACCTTTTCCTGAGGATCTTTCTTTTTCTAGTCCAGTTTGTCACAGACTTTTGTCTCTGAAGCTTTTTGCGTAATTGTTCAGGAAAATGTTCACCGATGCCTTGCTGCACGTCAACACTAGATCTTTCAAAGATGTATTACATCCATTGCACACTCCGGAATCAAGTCCAAGATCATACAATCGTTGCATTGCCAATTTCATGGGGGTCTTTCTGTGTTTTTTGCAAGCAAGAAACGGTTGTTCACATTGTGTGTCTCTCGCGAGCACTTGAAAAACTTTGAAAATGTCCGTTGCAATGTCGACGATGGAGCGGTCAGAAGGCCAGATTAAGCCCCCCCCCCCCCTCC